AGTTGGTTGAATGGACACAGGAAATCCAGGTGGGCAGGAGGAGTGAACTGTCACCGTACAGGGAGAGTAACTAGGGTTAGATAATAATGCGTGTATAAATTTTTGTATGAGACTAACTTGAATTGTAAACTTTCACTTAAAGCATAATAAAAATAAATAAATTTAAAAAAAAACTTCTTTAATCTACAATTAGGATTCCTAAAGTATTTCTTAGATTCATGAAAGGCTAGACTGGAAACACTCTAAAATCAACATAAAGCATAAAAAGCATCTCTAAAGTTTACTAAATTTGCAATGTTTTGTCTTCCTTTAATTCATTCACACTCTCCTCTCAGGATACAAGAAGCAAAACCAGTTTGTGTTTGTGTTGTATCCACTTCCAGAAGGAGCTGGATATGGCCTCAACTGAGTAGTTATATGCTAATTAGATATCACAGTCATTATTTAAAATGTTATCCTATTCAGAGAATTGTCTGCTTACCTTGGGGAAAGGGCAAATTGACATTTCTCCCAACTTTGGGACTGTGGAAACAAGAGCACCCCTAAACATCACTTCCACAACCCCATATTGTGCTAGGGAACTTGTAACTTTGTCGATTCATTAGGCATTTTAGGAGATTTTTTATCAGCACTGTACTAAGAGCTCTGGAGAGGTATATAAATGGAGAAAGTGCACAATTCTTGCTCCCAAAGAGTTTACAATGCAAATAGAGAATCCAGCTGGGAACTCGGAACAAAAGCAATGACTGCATAATAATGTACTGGTGGGGGCAGGGGGATGGAGATCTGGAAACTGGGTTGTTACTGGGAAAGCTGTTTCCAGGAGGTGAGAGTTTAGGCCAGCCCTGAAAGATGTTTATTGTAATGATTAGCAGGAATGGAAGCTTTTACTTAGGAGATAACTATCTGCTCTGATTTAAAGGTGGAAACTACTTTAAGTGTGGAAGATGGTAAGAGAATCCATTTATTAGTGATCCAAAGGCTGATCTGGAAAAAGACTGATTTTGAGTATGTAACAGGAAAGTTTGGAGGAAGTCAGATGATGAAGGTAGGAAGAGGAGGCATTTTTTAATGTTATAGTAAAAAGTTTAGATTTGATTATATGGGAAAAAAAAAGAAAATTACATGAGAAGAATCATTATGGCAGCTATGTAAAAATGAGATTGCACAATTGGCGTAACAAAGCTTATTAAGAAAATGTTCTGCATCCTACTTTGGTGAGTGGCGTCTGGGGTCTTAAAAGCTTGTGAGCGGCCATCTAAGATGCATCAATTGGTCCCAACCACCTGGAGTAAAGGAGAATGAAGAACACCAAAGACACAAGGGAAGTATTAGCCCAAGAGACAGAAAGGGCCACATAAACCAGAGACTTCAGCAGACTGAGACCAGAAGAACTAGATGGTGCCCGGCTATCACCAATGACCGCCCTAACAGGGAACACAACAGAGAGTCCCTGATGGAGCAGGAGAAAGCTGGGGTGCAGAACTCAAATTCTAGTAAGAAGACCAGACTTAATGGTCTGACTGAGACTGGAGGAACCAGAAAGCATGGCCCCTGGATTCTCTGACGGCCCAGAACTAAAACAATTTCCGAGGCCAATTCTTCAGACAGGGACTGGACTGGACTGTGGAACATAAAGTGATACTCATGAGGAGTGTGCCTCTTAGCTTAAGTAGATACAAAAGACTAAACGGGCAGCTTCTGTCCGGATGTGAGATGGGAGGGTGGAGAGGGTTGAGAGCTGGTTGAATGGACATGGGGAATCAGCGGTGGAAAGAAGGAGTGCGCTATTGCAGTGTGGGGAGAGCAATTAGAGTCACGTAACAATGTATGTATAAATTTTTGTATCGGAAAAAATAAAAAATAAAAATGAGATTGCAATAGAGAGATCCTGGAGCTCAGCAAACAAGCTAGCGCATGCCATAATTTAGCCCGAACTCCTTAGGACCAGGAATAAAACTGCAGCTGAAAAAATTTTCAAAGTTGAATAAACAATAATTACAATAAATATAAAGGCTACACTACAAACAATATCTCATTATTACTCATTAATTATTAACAATATTAACAATAATCTCCAAATAATCTTATTGCCATCCATTCTTCCTTTTCCCACCCAGTACCTCTCCCTCAAATTTAAGACATTTTATTGAGTTCTTCCCTATGCCTTGCCCAGCTTGCCTTTGTCTTTCCCAGCTTACCTCTTCCTCTTCATTTATCCAAATCATTTTAGTCTTTAAAAGACCCAGCCTAAGTGTCACCTCTTCCTTGAAGCCATTTAAAATCTCAGGAAATTCTCCTTCTGCTGTACTTCTGTAGTATGACTATCTGCTAGTCACCTTGACCACATGCTGTGCTTATTTTCTTACTAGTAGCAACAACCATTGATAGTCTTCATGTTATTTAACTCTTTCAAATAGTTTTTAAAACTACAATTATTGTAGAAAATTCAGGGAGAAAAATCACTTGTAATCAATCTCATTACCACTGATAAAGTTCTGAGGTATCCCTTCCAAGCGTTTATCAATGTGAGTATATTTTATACATACATATTTAAAATACAGTATAAACATTTTTACATCCTGCTTTTACTTTTATACAGTTATTTTATGAGGTCCTCTAGAATCTAAGCAGTTCCTACTTACAGTCAGTTTAAGATCCCTGTTTCTGCTACTTTAACTCAGTTGCTACTCCCTATATCCTCTCTCTCACTATTCACGGCTTCTGCTCCCTGGGTTTACTGCTAGCTTTCTCAATGTGCCTTTACAACATTATTCAATCCACCCAAATCTTTTACCACAAACAAAGTGTGGGCAGAGATGTAACAAGCTTCCTACAGATTGATTACTCTTGGGTCTGGTGACTACCCCAGTCCAATAAAAGAGGGGAATGGCTATGTGGTACCAGTAAGGAAGTGTAAAAGAAGGAATCTCTAGGAAGAGTTGGTATGGCAAGCACATGTGGCCTGGCTTATATATCCTTCATTTAATATGTTTTTTAAAATAAGATTTTTGATGGTTATATAATGTCTATAAATATACCAAATGTACTTAACCATTCCCATAGTGCTGGACAATTATGTTGTTTCTGGTTTCACTATTCTAAATAACATTGAGATGAACAGCCTCCTAAACTGCCCAAGTCTCAGGTAAACTCTTTGTATTCCTACAAGTGGAATTCTTAGATTAGAGGGTGGCAACTTTTTAAAGACTCTTGATATTGTCTGCCAAATGAACTTCCAGAATGTTTTTACGACATTAAAAAAGAGATAAAGGGTTTTGACTTTTGTTATATTTTGCTAAGAGCCACAAGAAAAACTATATGGTATACCAAAAATACTTAATTTGATGAAATACTTCCTCTTAGAGATGTACTCTTAGTGCATTTTAGAAATTCATGTGGTAGGCAAAACTTCAAGATCTGTAGTTTATATGTTTCATGCGGGAGGAATGCAGTGGGGTCAAAATTGAATTGGAAAGAATTTGTATGCACTTAACCCAAACCAAAGCCATTGCTGGAGTTGGTTCCAACTCATAGCGACCCTATAGGACAGAGTAGAACTGCACCACAGGGTTTCCAAGGAGCACAGCTGGTGCATTCAAACTGCCAGCCTTTTAGTTAGCAGCCTGAGCTCTTAAATATTGTCACCAGGGCTCCTTTATGCACTTTTAAGTATATAGAAAAAAGAATAAAATGATTAAGCTATTTAAGTGTCATCAAATTCATTCCTTATCTTTATGTGTATAACTACATTTTACATAGTTGCAATTTTTATGTACATGTTTAGTATTTTCTTCAAATATGAACTGATTACACACTATCGTCATTTTGTTATTTACATAAAATTCCCGAGGTTAATATGCCAGACATTAAATAGCAATTTCCTTTTGGTTAGACTTTTATTTTCCCCCTCCAAATTTTTGGTGTTCAGATAGTATACTATGAACATCTTTGTGCATGTGATTTTTTTTTTCCTTTTCAGATCATACCTAAGTGGAATTGCTGATTAAAAGATATGAACAGTTTTATAGCTTGCCTTACAACTGCAAGATTGTTCATTCTATCGAGATATTATTAACTTTGCTCGTTTGTCTTACTGCTTCTTTAAATTCACTTTAGGAAGATAGTGTCTTTTAAATCTCAGTGTGTCCCCACAGGTCAGCTGTGAGGTAGAACTGGCTCAGAGTGAGGCTGACAAAAGTCAGTAAATATGGACTAATTTTCATGTACCTGTAGGCTTGACTTTCCTATTCAGATTCTTCTCCTTAGTCTATTCTCTGCTTTTCTTTCCCGTATTTCTTTATCTTAAATTGGCAATTTCAGGTTAGGTAATTTTGGACAGAGGTGCTTTTTTGTGTCCCTTAAATCACATTTCTTAAAAAGTTGTCCGTCCTCGAGCATTATTCGTCCCAATGCCGTCCGAAGAGGCCGAATTCAAAACAGTCACCGCCACTTAAGCTTACACCCAGGTGCCTCCTCGGGAAGGAAATGTTTTCTTGCAGTCTCATGTTTCCCCTCATCCATGCGAAGAATTTCCACTCAAGTTAAATTTGGGCGGATTTTGAAGATATCGGAAGTGGCGTGCCTTCCTGCCAAACAATTCGACGCTGCCTGTCACAAACGTTCAGTGAAGGTGTAACGGGGCCTGCGGAATATTTTGCATCTCACAAGCACACAGTAAACACCGGATTTACCCTCCGCAGGACCCGACAAATACACAGATGCAAGGCCCGTCACAGGAAGAAGCTTTTGTTGTCTACTTAGAGCCGGGTTTAGGAAAGTCCACAGTCCTGAACGCCGAGCTGAAGCCCGGGCGTAGATTCCCTCAGACATCCGTCTCAAAGCAGCCGCCCAGCCAAGCAGCCCAGGGACGCGCCGGGGCGCCCCAGGGGCGGGGTCGGGTGGAGGGGGCGGGGCCTGCTGCGGCGTCACCGCTGACGTAGCCGCCCTACCGGGCCGCAGCCGCCTCCGAACCGGGGGACTGGGGGCCGTGGGCCCTAAGATGGCCGCTCCATCGCGGGCTGGTGAGTGTGCGTGAAGGGCGCGCGCGGTTGCGGCGGTTGACGGAGCGAGGCTCCCTGCGGGAGCAGAGGTCCGACCGGAGACCCCAGGCTGGGAAGCACCTGGCGGCGATTTCCCGCCGCGCAGGGGGTTCCTGAGGGAGAGAGAGGAAGCTGCGGACTGAGAGGAGCGAGCCCAGGGGCGCGCGGAGGAGTCGGCGGCGGCATCGGCGGCGGGTCCGGCGAATTTAGAATTGGCGCCTCTGGGAAGTTTCGGTGGGTCGTGCGATGCGCGGGTAGATGTCCTAGTGCCACCTCACAGTGTCCGGGGATGCTGCGAGGGGATGCGTTTCTTGTGGCCGGGGTATCGCGTAGCCACCCTTTCCTGGGCTGGAGGGGGCCGAGCTGGGAGAAAAGGGGCGGAATTGAGGGACCCGAAGGGACGCAAAGGGGAGTTCTGCCCTGATCCGCGGCCCGGAGCGTTGAGAAATGTGATCAGCGATCCAGTGCGCTGTGTAGAACAGCCACCGTAGAGGTAGCACCGCATCCTGCCCACGACCCGGAATGCCCCAAGTGATGCTCAAAGCTCTGGGATGCTTTGGAGGGGCGGTTCTAGTCCTCGGTTAGAAGGAACGTGCTTCTCCGAGGTTAGCCTTCCCTCCATTGATTGCGTCCCGGTACCTCCAGCACCTGCTGCCACTTGAAGATGCTTCCAGTTTTTTAATGCCAGCTTCCTAAAATCATTCTAGCTGCCCTTCGAATGCTAATAAGTTAAACTCATTTTAGGAGCATAAGAAACGTGCCAGCGTGAGAGAGAAGAAGAAAAAAACCCTGACCGCTCTAAGAGTTGGTAGACCACCCCCCTCCATAAAAAAATAAAGTGAAACATGGTAATTGTTTCTACTGCAGGTTTGAGCTGTTGTAAACTCTACTGGTAACTGAATAATTTCTTTCAGTTTAATTTTGTAAGTAAAGAACAGTTTATTAACTTTTGGAGAATTCATTTCTTCCACAGACCAACCGCCTCAACCCCTAAACTTCGCCGTTTCTTACAAGTAACGCGGTTGTGAAATCAACATGGAAATAGGACCTTCAGCCACTGCCTTGAATTTGTTATTATCTGTTAAGTAGCTGCCTGTGGGGTAAAAGTAGGTGTGGTAACATTTTGGGCCTGGAATTGCGTTTTGAGTTGGCTTCAAAACCAGCATTTGGTATAAACAAGCAAAAAAGAGTTGTCTCTTCACTGTGATCGAATTTGAAAACCTGAACATAAGTCAAGCACATGTTTATAGAATATTTTATAATCTCAGTAAGATTAAGTATTCAGTAGTGTTGAAGGAAATAAAAAACTTCATATTCTTGGAACCTTAATCTTTTTAACCTTAATTTAGCATCTGGGGGTATTTGAAAGAGATTTTAAACATTGGGGGACATTCAGCTCCTCTGTCCCCACTGGTAGGATTTCCTTTGTGTACTAACCATAAATTATGCAACGAATGTCAGATTTTTCAATCTAATATTTATCGTCGGGTACTGTCCAAATTGAAATTTATAGGTATTCTAATACTAAACAAAGATAACAGTTCAATCCATACAGTTTAGAAGGTTAAAATATTTCTGCTGTTCAGTTGTGCATCACTCTTGTTTTGCTTCCAAAATATTGTTCATGATGTTTTTTAGCTTAATCAAAAAACTTAAGTGATAAGTGAATTAGAATTTAGTGTTATATACAATAATATGACTTTTGAAATATTTAAAATGGAAAATCTGTTGGATTTGGGGTTAAATATTTGAAATCTAGTGATAAAATGTCTCTACCTTAATTGTCTTGTTCCCTTTTTTTCACGGATTTTTCTTTTTGTAGTACAAAAAAAAGAATGAGGTATCATATATACCCTCCATCACTTTCTCTCTACACACTTGAATCTTATTGAGTATTATAAGAGGATTTTTTTTTTGCTGTCATTTGATTGTCTGAGGGCAGAGACTGATTTATTTGTGTATCCCTAGCACCTGGCTAACTGCTTAACATGGACACAAAAAAAACAAAAAACCCAGTGACTGTTTCTTGAATTGGATTTTTGAACAGTAGAAATACAGAACTAAAGGCACTATTTTGGTTTCTCGGTAGCAGAAAAAAAAGATGCTTTGAAGTTCTTTCCTTGCTGCAATGTAAAGTGGAACAAACATGGTTGCCACATTCTAATGAAGTAGTCTGGACTAGGAAGATTAGAGAGAGGCTGGGGCATAGCCTCTGGAGTCCAATCAAGATAATAAATTGCGTGCCCAAATCATTCTCTGGATTCAGTAATAGGATAGCTTTGCCATGAGGCCAAACCTAAATAGTGGCAAGTAACAAAAATATAGGAATCTGTAAATATTGGCTTTCTGGCAAAGAGTAAGACTGTGAAAAGTGTAACTTATATTAATAGCACTTTCAGACACCATAAACATTTTATTATAAAGAATTCCTTTTTAATGGACTTTTATTTGTAATAGGAGAAAGCTGATTTATTTATGGTCTAAGGATATACTTGTTAGACCAAATCATGGATATGCTAGAGTGATTAGAGTGGAGAGTCTAGGCATTTTATACACAAACAAGGTATTTGAGAATCAATTTAATAAACCCATAGTAGAATGTACAGTGTTTTCCTGACTGTTTCCCCATTGTGATGAAGTTGCCTGCAGTGGGTTGAGGTATAGGTATGGTGGTGTGACATTAATGATAAATATTTTGGAACAAAATCACCCATGAATGAATAACTTGGAAGTAGGGATGGGTTAGGAATTCAAATAACCTGGAGGCAGAATTTACTTTCCTGCAGTGTGCTTACAACATAGTCAGCTAGATTCCGTCTCTGGGCTTCCGATGAAGCATGTTAGAGACATGAGGAAGGCCCAAGAAAAAGGATATCCTTTATGGTTTAATGAGTTTCAAGCGAGATCAGAGTGATTAAAGATTCTAGATCTCTAGAGGAAGAAAGAATAATCAGGGCCTTTCTAGGGATAAAGGAAAAGAAATACATCATGATTGACAAGGAGAGGTGCCAAAGCACATAATAGGCATAATAGAGGTAGAGTATGAGGGCCCATTGTATTATTCATTCAGTAATTAATTTGTTCATTCAAAAATATTGAACCCCTTTCTATGTACTAAGCACTATGTTTGACCCTTGGTGTTTTACAAATATCTCTCAAGAGGACATGATGCTACAGTGGTTCCATGAAGTAAATGGAAAATAGAGAACGGCTCTAAAGGAGTAGATAGGGTTTACCCTAGTTACTACACACTATGGATAAAGCTGTTCTTATCCAAATGGATGTAACAATTGTGCTAGGTAATATGGGAAGAGAGGGGTAATTCCTGAGGACTACATCCTACTGAAATTGCTATTTCCTCCTTTTATTATGGAAAATAACATATTCTTTTAATAGTCTTTAGAGGGCCTGTTTAGGTTATTTTGTACTGTTAAGAGAAAAATAAGTTCTGTTATGAAAATTATCTTTGTTAAAATAAAGATGCAATGTATGCCTATTTTTTAATATCCATCCCTCTAGGGGAAACCCTGGTGGCATAGTGGTTAAGTGCCACCTACAGCTGCTAACCAAAAGGTCAGTAGTTCGAATCCACCAGGCGCTCCTTGGAAACTCTATGGGGCAGTTCTACTCTGTCCTGTAGGATTGCTGAGTCGGAATTGGCTCAACAGCAGTGAGTTTGGTTTTTTTTTTCCCTCTAGGAGTTATCAGGAGGATTTTCTTTAATGAGATAAAGATGGTTACTGTGACACAATTATGCTTAAAAATTTATTCTACTTTATGCCCAGTGATACTGCTTTTTTCTTTAATCGAAGTAGAATGTATATAAAATGTGAATGCCCATTTCCTAGAAAATTACAGTTCATATCCTCGTTATGAAAGTCATTAAAGTTAAACTTAATTCAAAATGTGGTCATTTGTATATTTTTATATAAAAACATTTTTTTAATAAAAGAGACGAGTGAAAAGTGTCTGGTCATAGATGAGAGTAGAAAAGTATGTATTATGCCATATTTTGAAAGCCTTTGTATGTATGCCAGGCTAAGGAGTTTATGTTGTGTTATTTCAAGATTTTTAAATAATCCTTTGACAATTTTAAAACTATGCCTACATTATAAGATACACTAAGAATTATATAAAATATGTTATATGATTATTTGACTTAAGTTTGAGCTATGAAAAGTGAAAGCTGTGTAATAGAGCTTGTTACTTTAGTGTCTTCAGATTTTAAAACACAGATTACTTTTCATTCTTTTTAGGAATGTGGATTAGCCATTTCTCTTATCCGTGTCACTTTAACTATTAAATAGTAATTTAGTTTAGCTACTTTTGTGTGTGTTTATAATTCATAGTAACTTCCTGACTTTCATAGAAACATGTTTTTTAAGCGATGGATCTGAAAATTGTGCTACTAATAGACTGTTTAGATCTAGATTGCATTATTCATACTTCCAACCTTTAGAACCTGACCACTTGTGGGAACTTCCAAAGCTTATAACTGCATCAGACCTTCCCACGATTTTGTTACAAGTGTTTTAGGAAACGAGTGGTAAAGGGGTGGTCAGCTGAAGTGATCATTATGTTGAAGAAAAACAACTAAAATTTACAGTTACATTACATTTACAGTTACAATTTACATTAACAGTGAAATGTTAATTTTGAAGTAGAAAGTTAGCAACCCTTCTCTTTTCAGTGCTGCTTATAACTCTAATACCTATTTGAAGCACAAATATTTAAAGGATGACTTTACATATCATACCAGAATTTAAAATATCTTAATTAGGGTTGGAAATATTTCTCAATTTGTTTTTGTATAAAATCTATTTTGGGTATCTGAAAGCATGCGGCATAGCACATAGTGAGCTCTGGATAAGTGATAAGGAGATCAGGAAACTGTGCCTTGACTAATTATGGAAAAATGCCCACTTGGTTAGGGTAGAGGGCAGTTTTGGTCATTAGTGACCCAGTGAAGCTTCCTGTTCTCAAACACTGAGTCATATGTCATAAAGAGAGCTGAAGTTAGACCAGCAGTTAATACTAGTTTATTGATTGATTGCTCTAAGAATTTGGTGGCCTGAAACAATGTGGCTGTAAAACTATAAAATCTTCATAAAACCTTGATACTTTATATTTACACTTTAAAACAAAAGCAAAAAACCCATTTCCTTTGAGTTCATTCCAACTCATAGTGACCCTATAGGACAGAATAGAACTGCCCCATAGGGTTTCCAAGGCTC